TTACTGACATGACCAATGTATGCTAATCCTATGTAGTATGAGAGTTTTTTTAAAGACTTTTCTAGTCCAGATGAGCTTTTATTGGACTTTTAAGGGAAGATTTATGCATGATAAGAGCCAAGCATTGCAATACAAACATTGGATTGACGCGCTGTTATTTAAGAAATGTATACACGTTTTATTATATTGCTGCTAAGATAACATCTCAGATATCAAGCGCTTCAAGGCACTCAAAATAGACGAGATGAAACTATGCAGTATGGAATATCTCCTCGCTCATCGTCCCGTTCAACAACTGCTCGTCGCTCATCGTCCCGTTCAACAACTGCTGGTCGCTCATCGTCCCGTTCAACAACTGCTCGTCGCTCATCGTCCCGTTCAACAACTGCTCGTCTACTTCATGGGTATCCAGGAGTACTGAAAAAACATTCGAGTCATAAATGATGGACGTCAAGACAATAAATGATGTTCTCTAGACTGAAATCACAGCATGAATTTTGTAATAGTTCCTCAAGGGCTTGGTTACTTCATAAATCCTGTATTTGTAAAAAATGAGCGATGTTGGCAGTGAATTCAGCAACCAAACATTAATGCATTAACTTATAAGACATGCAAGTGGTTTGTTTTAGCTCTTATACACACATGATTAGCTTGACATTGCTGTGTTTCAAATTAATCAAACATTTCACAGATTCCAGATCTTTTACACCACTTTTATGCGACACATACTGTTGTCTTTTTGGCCTTTAAAGCTCACCTTTGTGCTCATGCTGGACACCCCCCGTCGTGCCGTTGTTCTGCTGGACGCCCCCCGTCGTGCCGTTGTCCATGGGGACCAGGTTCTGCTGGACACCCCCCGTCGTTGCTTCGCCCCAAATGACAAACCGGTTCTGGATGTCCCCAGTCGTAGAGTCTACCCCAATGACGACCCATTTTGGGATGCCCCCCTCCTTGGCCACTCCCCTAATGACGACCCGGTTCTGGACAGCCTCTGCTGTGGCGGTTTCGCTAATGACGATCAGGTTCTGGACGCCCCCCGTCTTGGCTTTGTCCTTAATGATGACCAAGTTCTGGACGCCCCCTGCCGCGGCGTTTCCCCTAATGACGACCCGGTTCTGGACGTCCTCAGTTGTGGAGTCGCCTCCTATGATGACCCATTTTAGGTCACGCCCCACAGTGGAATTTCCCCTAATGACGACCCGGTTCTGGACGCCTCCCGCCGTGCCGTTGTCCCTCGTTACGACCTGGTTCTGGACATTTGTTGTCTCGTTGACGCTCTTCGGCTTTTGTTCAGGATTCTGGTGACCAGACGCCTCAGCTTCCACGTCATTGGTTTCCAGTTGTACTGAAAGAAAGAAGGATTGATGAACAAATTAAGAACCAAAATAAATCACGTGATGTTATACGTCGACTGAAATCACAGCGTGAATTGTTCTGTAGTTTTCTTTTAATTCTGGCTTTTTTTAAAGTGGCATTTGTTGGATTGAGGACCGTTTTTAAGATCAATTCTCAAAGTTGTTCAATTTGGCTCAACATTTCTGAAACGCATGGCAACAACATGCACAATATATCAAGGGATGGCCATCAAATACAAATATCTTCCCAATTTCAAGTTTTTAAAACCAGTTTAAAGCATTATCACCCCATAGTGTTCCTCAAGGGCTGGGTGTCTTAACTTGGTATAAGACATACAGATATCATGTTTTAAACCCTTTTATACACGGTTTAAATATCTTGAGTTAATCTTATATTTCCCAGATTTCAGATCATTTTCACCACTTTAATGCGGCACATACTGTTGACCTTTTAGCCTTTAGGGCTCACCTTCTCTAGCATCTTGGTCTAACATGGACTCCATCGACTGGAAAAGTGCAAAGGCTTTCTTTAAGGAGATCTCATCGGGAGACAGATCTGTAGGACACATTATAATTAAAGGTTTAGTGTCAGACAGAGAGAAGAAACACTTCATACAATCAAATGTTTTCAACTCTCAGTCTCCTCTGCAGCTTATATTCACCGGCTGGAAAACCAGAGACTGTGGACAGGAAACATGCTGTTAAATCAAACATTATTCCTTCATCTTCAATACAATTATCAAACAGGTAAATACCTCTGGCCAGGCAAACAGTCAGCACACAGAGGAGCATCCAAACAGCTGCCATCTCTGCAGTTTTCCAAGAGAGTGTTGCCTGAGCACCAGCCAGCTTTAAAGGAGGGAAACCTCCAGCAGCTGCTGCTGATCAGCACTGATTGTCTCTCTGCACAGAGGAAAACACCATTTATCTGAGATTAAACTCTGAGAATGAGGAGTTTTTCATGGAGCTTGTTGTGCATTTATGATTAGTAGAGACCATCATTTTAAATTCACATTATGTTCAAATCAGTAAAAGAATATTGCATTTGAGAGGGTATAGCAACTACAACAAATAACAAGCCCAGAATAAATCTGTATTTCCCGTCTTAATAAATCTGTATTTCCCGTCTTAATAAATCTGCATTTTCCGTCTTATTAAATCTGCATTTCCCTTCCTAATAAATCTGTATTTCCTGTCTTAATAAATCTGAATTTCCTGTCTCTGCAGGTATGAGGGAGCGGGTGTTTGAGTTCATCCGCCCCCCGGTGTAACACCCCCACCGGCAGCCGCTGCGTTACCTGGACAGGTACAGGCAGGGCCGGCCCTAGACGAGCTTTGGCTTGGGGGCCCCCCTCACTCTAGCTCGTTCTCACTTCACACAACACGGAACCAACTTTTGTCTTATGATGTTAGCATAAGCACACATATTGTATAAATAAGCATGTAAACACCGTGGACCTAACATCCTCTAGGGGGGTCCTCACCTCCTCTAGGGGGGTCCGGGGGCATGCTCCCCCAGGAAGATTTTTTTTTAAATATTGAAGTTAAAAACATCAATCTGGTGCACTTCTATGGATACATCTCTCAACACCCATATGAAACAGAACTGTAAACAGATTTTTCTTTATGGATATTTTACAAATCACTCCCCTTTTAAACTGTATTCTTGTTTTGTCATATAGTATTTCATAACTGTTTTTCATTTATTCTCTCTGGCTGTCCATCTCATAATGTTCACATAAAAAGTAGCTGTCAATAGGAATATCATTCAGAAGAATTATAATTTCATGCAAAAATCTGTCACAAAAAGAGGTTGCACATTTACATTCAGGTGTTGTTATGACAACGTCAGTGGCCAAACAGCCACATTTACTGCTGCAAATACGTTCAATCATGCTGTCGACACGTAAAGCAGTGGCAACTATGCCACCATTTCCCAGAGAGCTTTCTTTGAAATCACCAGATAACGCTAAAAAACATTACATTTAGATTGTATGACAAAGTGTTTATTTAATATATCTGGCTAGCTATAGCTACTTGCTAACGGTTTAGCTTACCCCCGCGATTCAAAGTAACGTCAACGTAGCTGTAATTTCTCCTGGCTCAAGTGCTGGCTCTGGGGTTGTTGTGTGAACCACCACTTGAGAATTGTCGTCTTTTTTAAGAACAAATGTTCTTATGTCCATCTTCAAAAACTCTGAGTCTGAGACTGACAGTTTATTTTAAACATTGTCACAGCTCACAGGATAGGTACCTGTCAGCCAATAAGACAGATGTTTATCTCCATTCAACTCTCCGGTTGGTCTGGTGCCTTGCCTCTGTTGCATTCACTGAACACGGGAAATTACATTCCTGCCGTCCTCTCTAGTGTCATGATGAGGTTCAGGTAAAGCACGGTTAATGTATTATATGATTGACTCAATAATATAATACATGACTTTGAGAGTAGGCAATCTAGGCATATTAACAAAATTAATTAAACATACTTATCACGGCGACGGTGTACTGAGATAAAAAACGGTGTACTGAGATAAAAAAAAAAATCTTTTTTTTATATTTTTAATTTTTGCTAGGGGGCCCTTAGTGGCTGCGGGGCCCTAAGCGGCCGCTTATGTCGCTTAATGGGTCGGGCCGGCTCTGGGTACAGGAACGGGAAGGAACACACCTACGGGATTTACTAGTTATGAGACTCTAGAAAAACCCTCAAAATGTCCTCGCAAATATGTCGTCATGTTTGGCGAATTTGTGTTATCAATAAAGCATTTTTCAGTCGTGCAGATTTCATTTTGCAGGTTATTTTGACCACTTATTGGATCTGTTTCTTTGTAGGAAACAGAAAGGATATGGCCATTTAAAAAATGTGAGATTTATCTCTGGAAAATGCAAACAAGAATATTTCTGACCTAAGAACTATTTAAAACATTTTTTAAATAATGCAAAACTTTCTCAAAAGAAACTTTAAAATCATTTTTTTTAAAGAAACTTGAAATTAGAAAGTTAAACTCAAATAAACTGTTTTTCAAATGCTACCTGGACAGTTACAGGAACGGGAAGAAGCACAGCTACAGGATTTTATGAGTCTTCAGAAAACATTCAAAATGTCCTCGCAAATGTCTCGTCATTTTGGCGAATTTAAAGCATTTTTTAACAGTGCTGATTTCAGTCGTCAGCAGGATATAGTTATTTTAGAAATGTGTGTTTCTATCTGGCAAATACAGATTGAAAACAATGCAGAAAAGAAACTGAACATTTATATTTTGAGTGACAGGTTTAGAAGATTGTGAAACCCTGAATTGGGTATACCAAGTTTATATTCTTGACTTTTCTTTTGAGTCTAAATTGTTATTATAATAGACCACCTTTTTACCATCTTGTTATAGTCTAGCACATAAAAATGCATATGGACTTCAGACTAACCTGCAATAAAGGCAGCATGGCAAGGTTTTCTAATGACCATTTCTCAAAATATTGCACGTTTAATCTTCTCCCTTTTACTGACATGACCAATGTATGCTAATCCTATGTAGTATGAGAGTTTTTTTAAAGACTTTTCTAGTCCAGGTGAGCTTTTATTGGACTTTTAAGGGAAGATGTATGCATAATAAGAGCCAAGCATTGCAATACAAACATTGGATTGACACGCTGTTATTTAAGAAATGTATACACGTTTTATTATATTGCTGCTAAGATAACATCTCAGATATCAAGCGCTTCAAGGCACTCAAAATAGACGAGATGAAACTATGCAGTATGGAATATCTCCTCGCTCATCGTCCCGTTCAACAACTGCTCGTCGCTCATCGTCCCGTTCAACTTTTCCTCATCGCTCAACGTCCCGTTCAACTTTTCCTCGTCGCTCATCGTCCCGTTCAACAACTGCTCGTCGCTCATCGTCCCGTTCAACAACTGCTCGTCGCTCATCGTCCCGTTCAACAACTGCTCTTCGCTCATCGTCCCGTTCAACAACTGCTCTTCGCTCATCGTCCCGTTCAACTTTTCCTCGTCGCTCAACGTCCCGTTCAACTTTTCCTCGTCGCTCAACGTCCCGTTCAACAACTGCTCGTCTACTTCATGGGTATCCAGGAGTACTGAAAAAACATTCGAGTCATAAATGATGGACGTCAAGACAATAAATGATGTTCTCTAGACTGAAATCACAGCATGAATTCTTCTGTAATAGTTACTCAAGGGCTTGGTTACTTCATAAATCCTGTATTTGTAAAAAATGAGCGATGTTGGCAGTGAATTCAGCAACCAAACATTAATGCATTAACTTATAAGACATGCAAGTGGTTTGTTTTAGCTCTTATACACACATGATTAGCTTGACATTGCTATGTTTCAAATTAATCAAACATTTCACAGATTCCAGATCTTTTACACTACTTTTATGCGACACATACTGTTGTCTTTTTGGCCTTTAGAGCTCACCTTTGTGCTCATGCTGGACACCCCCCGTCGTGCCGTTGTTCTGCTGGACGCCCCCCATCGTGCCGTTGTCCATGGGGACCAGGTTCTGCTGGACACCCCCCGTCGTTGCTTCGCCCCAAATGACAAACCGGTTCTGGACGTCCCCAGTCGTAGAGTCTACCCCAATGACGACCCATTTTGGGACGCCCCCCTCCTTGGCCACTCCCCTAATGACGACCCGGTTCTGGACAGCCTCTGCTGTGGCGGTTTCGCTAATGACGATCAGGTTCTGGACGCCCCCCGTCTTGGCTTTGTCCTTAATGATGACCAAGTTCTGGACGCCCCCCGCCGTGGCGTTTCCCCTAATGACGACCCGGTTCTGGACGTCCTCAGTTGTGGAGTCGCCTCCTATGATGACCCATTTTAGGTCACGCCCCGCAGTGGAATTTCCCCTAATGACGACCCGGTTCTGGACGCCTCCCGCCGTGCCGTTGTCACTCGTTACGACCTGGTTCTGGACATTTGTTGTCTCGTTGACGCTCTGGGGCTTTTGTTCAGGATTCTGGTGACCAGACGCCTCAGCTTCCACGTCATTGGTTTCCAGTTGTACTGAAAGAAAGAAGGATTGATTAACAAATTAAGAACCAAAATAAATCACGTGACGTTATACGTCGACTGAAATCACAGCGTGAATTGTTCTGTAGTTTTCTTTTAATGTGGCATTTGTTGGATTCAGGACCGTTTTTAAGATCAATTCTCAAAGTTGTTCAATTTGGCGCAACATTTCTGAAACGCATGGCATCAACATGCACAATAAATAAATGGGATGGCAATCAAATACAAAAATCTTCCCAATTTCAAGTTTTTAAAACCAGTTTAAAGCATTATCACCCAATAGTGTTCCTCAAGGGCTGGGTGTCTTCACTTGGTATAAGACATACAGATATCATAATGTTTTAAACCCTTTTATACACGGTTTAAATATCTTGAGTTAATCTTATATTTCCCAGCTTTCAGATCATTTTCACCACTTTAATGCGGCACATACTGTTGACCTTTTAGCCTTTAGGGCTCACCTTCTCTAGCATCTTGGTCTAACATGGACTCCATCGACTGGAAAAGTGCAAAGGCTTTCTTTAAGGAGATCTCATCGGGAGACAGATCTGTAGGACACATAATTAAAGTTTTAGTGTCAGACAGAGAGAAGAAACACTTCATACAATCAAATGTTTTCAACTCTCAGTCTCCTCTGCAGCTTATATTCACCGGCTGGAAAACCAGAGACTGTGGACAGGAAACATGCTGTTAAATCAAACATTATTCCTTCATCTTCAATACAATTATCAAACAGGTAAACACCTCTGGCGAGGCAAACAGTCAGCACACAGAGGAGCATCCAAACAGCTGCCATCTCTGCAGTTTTCCAAGAGAGTGTTGCCTGAGCACCAGCCAGCTTTAAAGGAGGGAAACCTCCAGCAGCTGCTGCTGATCAGCACTGATTGTCTCTCTGCACAGAGGAAAACACCATTTATCTGAGATTAAACTCTGAGAATGAGGAGTTTTTCATGGAGCTTGTTGTGCATTTATGATTAGTAGAGACCATCATTTTAAATTCACATTATGTTCAAATCAGTAAAAGAATATTGCATTTGAGAGGGTATAGCAACTACAACAAATAACAAGCCCAGAATAAATCTGTATTTCTCGTCTCAATAAATCTGTATTTTCCGTCTTAATAAATCTGCATTTTCCGTCTTAATAAATCTGCATTTCCCTTCCTAATAAATCTGTATTTCCTGTCTTAATAAATCTGTATTTCCTGTCTCTGCAGGTATGAGGGAGCCGGTGTTTGAGTTCATCCGCCCCCCGGTGTAACACCCCCACCGGCAGCCGCTGCGTTACCTGGACAGGTACAGGCAGGGCCGGCCCTAGACTTTTGGGGGCCCTAAGCGAGCTTTGGCTTGGGGGCCCCCCTCACTCTATCTCGTTCTCACTTCACACAACACGGAACCAACTTTTGTCTTATGATGTTAGCATAAGCACACATATTGTATAAATAAGTATGTAAACACCGTGGACCTAACATCCTATAGGGGGGTCCTCACCTCCTCTAGGGGGGTCCGGGGGCATGCTTCGCCGGGAAGATTTTATTTTAAATATTGAAGTTAAAAGCATCAATCTGGTGCACTTCTATGGATACATCTCTCAACACCCATATGAAACAGAACTGTAAACAGATTTTTCTTTATGGATATTTTACAAATCACTCCCCTTTTAAACTGTATTCTTGTTTTGTCATATAGTATTTCATAACTGTTTTTCATTTATTCTCTCTGGCTGTCCATCTCATAATGTTCACATAAAAAGTAGCTGTCAATAGGAATATCATTCAGAAGAATTATAATTTCATGCAAAAATCTGTCACAAAAAGAGGTTGCACATTTACATTCAGGTGTTGTTATGACAACGTCAGTGGCCAAACAGCCACATTTACTGCTGCAAATACGTTCAATCATGCTGTCGACACGTAAAGCAGTGGCAACTATGCCACCATTTCAGCTGACTTTTTCTCAGAAATACTGTCACATAACATCCATGTATTTCAGTGCTAGGTTGATGCTTAGCTAAGCTAACTATGAAACACTTTAACTGACAGGACTCAGGATCAACTGTGTACTGTAAGGTAGCTTCTAGCTTCATGTCGAACAGTAAGTCAACATTTCCCAGAGAGCTTTCTTTGAAATCACCAGGTAACGCTAAAAAACATTACATTTAGATTGTATGACAAAGTGTTTATTTAATATATCTGGCTAGCTATAGCTACTTGCTAACGGTTTAGCTTACCCCCGCGATTCAAAGTAACGTCAACGTAGCTGTAATTTCTCCTGGCTCAAGTGCTGGCTCTGGGGTTGTTGTGTGAACCACCACATGAGAATTGTCGTCTTTTTTAAGAACAAATGTTCTTATGTCCATCTTCAAAAACTCTGAGTCTGAGACTGACAGTTTATTTTAAACATTGTCACAGCTCACAGGATAGGTACCTGTCAGCCAATAAGACAGATGTTTATTTCCATTCAACTCTCTGGTTGGTCTGGTGCCTTGCCTCTGTTGCATTCACTGAACACGGGAAATTACATTCCTGCCGTCCTCTCTAGTGTCATGATGAGGTTCAGGTAAAGCACGGTTAATGTATTATATGATTGACTCAATAATATAATACATGACTTTGTGAGTAGGCAATCTAGGCATATTAACTAAATTAATTAAACATACTTATCACGGCGACGGTGTACTGAGATTAAAAAAAAAAAAAAAAAAAAATGTTTTTTTTTTTTTTGCTAGGGGGCCCTTAGTGGCTGCGGGGCCCTAAGCGGCCGCTTATGTCGCTTAATGGGTCGGGCCGGCTCTGGGTACAGGAACGGGAAGGAACACACCTACGGGATTTACTAGTTATGAGACTCTAGAAAAACCCTCAAAATGTCCTCGCAAATATGTCGTCATGTTTGGCGAATTTGTGTTATCAATAAAGCATTTTTCAGTCGTGCAGATTTCATTTTGCAGGTTATTTTGACCACTTATTGGATCTGTTTCTTTGTAGGAAACAGGAAGGATATGGCCATTTAAAAAATGTGAGATTTATCTCTGGAAAATGCAAACAAGAATATTTCTGACCTAAGAACTATTTAAAACATTTTTTAAATAATGCAAAACTTTCTCAAAAGAAACTTTAAAATCATTTTTTTTAAAGAAACTTGAAATTAGAAAGTTAAACTCAAATAAACTGTTTTTCAAATGCTACCTGGACAGTTACAGGAACAGGAAGAAGCACAGCTACAGGATTTTATGAGTCTTCAGAAAGCATTCAAAATGTCCTCGCAAATGTCTCGTCATTTTGGCGAATTTAAAGCATTTTTTAACGGTGCTGATTTCAGTTGTCAGCAGGATATGGTTATTTTAGAAATGTGTGTTTCCATCTGGCAAATACAGATTGAAAACAATGCAGAAAAGAAACTGAACATTTATATTTTGAGTGATAGGTTTAGAAGATTGTGAAACCCTGAATTGGGTATACCAAGTTTATATTCTTGACTTTTCTTTTGAGTCTAAATTGTTATAATAGACCACCTTTTTACCATCTTGTTATAGTCTAGCACATAGAAGTGCATATGGACTTCAGACTAACCTGCAATAAAGGCAGCATGGCAAGGTTTTCTAATGACCATTTCTCAAAATATTGCACGTTTAATCTTCTCCCTTTTACTGACATGACCAATGTATGCTAATCCTATGTAGTATGAGAGTTTTTTTAAAGACTTTTCTAGTCCAGATGAGCTTTTATTGGACTTTTAAGGGAAGATTTATGCATAATAAGAGCCAAGCATTGCAATACAAACATTGGATTGACACGCTGTTATTTAAGAAATGTATACACGTTTTATTATATTGCTGCTAAGATAACATCTCAGATATCAAGCGCTTCAAGGCACTCAAAATAGACGAGATGAAACTATGCAGTATGGAATATCTCCTCGCTCATCGTCCCGTTCAACAACTGCTCGTCGCTCATCGTCCCGTTCAACAACTGCTCGTCGCTCACCGTCCCGTTCAACAACTGCTCTTCGCTCATCGTCCCGTTCAACTTTTCCTCGTCGCTCAACGTCCCGTTCAACAACTGCTCGTCTACTTCATGGGTATCCAGGAGTACTGAAAAAACATTCGAGTCATAAATGATGGACGTCAAGACAATAAATGATGTTCTCTAGACTGAAATCACAGCATGAATTCTTCTGTAATAGTTACTCAAGGGCTTGGTTACTTCATAAATCCTGTATTTGTAAAAAATGAGCGATGTTGGCAGTGAATTCAGCAACCAAACATTAATGCATTAACTTATAAGACATGCAAGTGGTTTGTTTTAGCTCTTATACACACATGATTAGCTTGACATTGCTATGTTTCAAATTAATCAAACATTTCACAGATTCCAGATCTTTTACACTACTTTTATGCGACACATACTGTTGTCTTTTTGGCCTTTAGAGCTCACCTTTGTGCTCATGCTGGACACCCCCCGTCGTGCCGTTGTTCTGCTGGACGCCCCCCGTCGTGCCGTTGTCCATGGGGACCAGGTTCTGCTGGACACCCCCCGTCGTTGCTTCGCCCCAAATGACAAACCGGTTCTGGACGTCCCCAGTCGTAGAGTCTACCCCAATGACGACCCATTTTGGGACGCCCCCCTCCTTGGCCACTCCCCTAATGACGACCCGGTTCTGGACAGCCTCTGCTGTGGCGGTTTCGCTAATGACGATCAGGTTCTGGACGCCCCCCGTCTTGGCTTTGTCCTTAATGATGACCAAGTTCTGGACGCCCCCCGCCGTGGCGTTTCCCCTAATGACGACCCGGTTCTGGACGTCCTCAGTTGTGGAGTCGCCTCCTATGATGACCCATTTTAGGTCACGCCCCGCAGTGGAATTTCCCCTAATGACGACCCGGTTCTGGACGCCTCCCGCCGTGCCGTTGTCCCTCGTTACGACCTGGTTCTGGACATTTGTTGTCTCGTTGACGCTCTGGGGCTTTTGTTCAGGATTCTGGTGACCAGACGCCTCAGCTTCCACGTCATTGGTTTCCAGTTGTACTGAAAGAAAGAAGGATTGATTAACAAATTAAGAACCAAAATAAATCACGTGATGTTATACGTCGACTGAAATCACAGCGTGAATTGTTCTGTAGTTTTCTTTTAATTCTTGCTTTTTTTAAAACTGGCATTTGTTGGATTGAGGACCGTTTTTAAGATCAATTCTCAAAGTTGTTCAATTTGGCTCAACATTTCTGAAACGCATGGCAACAACATGCACAATATATCAAGGGACGGCCATCAAATACAAAAATCTTCCCAATTTCAAGTTTTTAAAACCAGTTTAAAGCACCCCATAGTGTTCCTCAAGGGCTGGGTGTCTTAACTTGGTATAAGACATACAGATATCATGTTTTAAACCCTTTTATACACGGTTTAAATATCTTGAGTTAATCTTAGATTTGCCAGCTTTCAGATCATTTTCACCACTTCAAAGCGGCACATACTGTTGACCTTTTAGCCTTTAGGGCTCACCTTCTCTAGCATCTTGGTCTAACATGGACTCCATCGACTGGAAAAGTGCAAAGGCTTTCTTTAAGGAGATCTCATCGGGAGACAGATCTGTAGGACACATTATAATTAAAGGTTTAGTGTCAGACGGAGAGAAGAAACACTGCATACAATCAAATGTTTTCAACTCTCAGTCTCCTCTGCAGCTTATATTCACCGGCTGGAAAACCAGAGACTGTGGACAGGAAACATGCTGTTAAATCAAACATTATTCCTTCATCTTCAATACAATTATCAAACAGGTAAACACCTCTGGCCAGGCAAACAGTCAGCACACAGAGGAGCATCCAAACAGCTGCCATCTCTGCAGTTTTCCAAGAGA